TGATCGATTATTAACAATTTTTCTCAATTATATGTTTTTTCTTGGTCGGAATTTTAGTATTTTTTGTAAAAATTGATAGAAATATTGTATTTTGGCAACTATATATAGTCAATATAGGTCAGAACCGATTAAAACTAGGATCTATAGTGGGTAATGGCACTTTTATAAAATAGGTACGTGCGTATCCAATGAGTTATAATATATTATATAATATAATAATTCCTGTATAAACTATTTAAGTTTGGTGAGTCAAAACTACGTAGTGTATAACAGCCGTAGTGACTACGTAGTGACTGTAACAGCCGTTAAATGTAAAATTTTAAAAATAGAATAAAAAGTTCCTAAATAAAATTTGGTATCAAAAGTTCAAAATTTTGTCTATTCTATTTTTGAACGTGTTTTTGTTTGCAGAATCGATTGCATCTTGTGACAATAAATTCCAATCGTCGACCACTCTATTTGTTAAATAATAGTACTGGATGATTTTTTAGTATATTGTCGATGAAGTCTTTCATTATGACAATATCTGGACATGTTGTTGTAAAATTCTAAAGGCTCTTCAAACCTTATATATTCAGTTGAATTTAATATTTTAAACATTTCTATTAAATCGCCCCTTCTTCTCCTTTCTTGTAAGGATGGTAAACCTAATATTTTTTTCCTTTTTTCATAGCAGATGCCTTTCAGTGATTCAATCCTAGTCGATCTACGCTGTACCTTTTCGAGTCTCTTAATGTCTTTAATACAATATGGACTCCATACAGATGCTGCATATTCTGTGGCCTAATAGCTGACTTCAGTAACAGCTTCAAAATGGTAACATCAAGATCTTTAAATCCAAGTTACGGGTTACGGCACCGATTACGTAATTACGTAAACTACGAGTTACGGCACCGAATATGTAATCGAGATCTCTGACCATTTTATCAAAGCGTGCTAAGCGTTTTAGTTGTAAATATGTATTTTATTGTGTTATTTTTTATAATTTTATATCATTATAGACTTTTTTTGGAAAGTAGAAAAGTTAAACTTCATTTTTGGATAGTTTCTTTTGTAGCTACAACTGCTTTTATTGAATTAACTTTTCTTAAAAACTTCTTTGTTGGTCAGACAACATTTTTGAAACTATTAAGAAAAGTTTAAAAACTTTTTTTCTACGTGCGTGCTATATTTTATCGAAAAAAGATTATGTTGCAGACACCTAACTTTTTGTTACAGAATATGTACCTAAGTTCAAATATTGTAAATAAAACAAAATATTGCGAATTTAGCAAAAAAGTTCCATAACAAAACTTTCGGTAGCCGAATCTGACATAACAAAACTAGTCGCAGTTTTGTTATGCAATCATTGTAATCAAATTTTGTTACTTAAATGAGCATAACTCTTTGTAAAATTGTTATTTTGTTATGTAATTTTCACTATTGCAATGCTGATTTTAGCCTCTTTTTAATGATATATAATAATCAATAATAAAAATAGTTTAAAATTTTTACACACGTGCCCATATAAAAGGTTTTATATTGACGCCGATGAGCGAAAGTGATTTAATTGACTCCAAAACGGTGTTCTTTAGATTCACTATTAGAGGTAGTAAAAAGGTTTTGAAAATTATATTAAAAATAAGAATAAGTTTTTTTAAATTGTTTGGACATAATACGCTGCTAATTTCAAATAAAAGAATTCAAGTAATTTGTAAATCGCCTTAACTACTCCGAGTAATTAAATAAAAATCGTTGTGGCCAGCGCAACGGTACCGGTGTTGTTTTAATTTTTTATCTTAAAGTCATGGTAGTAAAGTTTGATTGGTTTATAAATCACAGCAACAAATATTATTTGTTGATTTTGAAAGTTTTATTTTTAAAAATTAAAAAGAATTGCAATTCGACATTGTGCGTTTAGCGTTGTGGTCTTTCGTTGGTTAATCCTCTACCGTGATCGAGTCCTTCACTTTGAAAAATTATTTTAAATGTTTTTTAACTATTTTTTTATTGAAAGCTATTATTATTGTTGTAAATTGAAAGTTACTTTGATTTTTATTATTAACATACATCGACTGATTTAGGAATAAGCGCAGTGAGTGTACATACATCCACTGATTTAAGTATAGGCGAAGTGGAGCGCGCATACATCGTCTGATTTAAGAATAGACGCAGTGGAGCGCACATACATCGTTTGAGGGTTTTGGTTTGGGCATGCATTTGAGGGTTTTGGTTTGGGCATGCATCTTTAAATAAAAAAAGAAAAAAATTAAAACAATCAGAAACCACTACGTGACTTAAAGAAAAAATTAAAGCGACGGTACCGTTGCGCGAGCAGCAGCAAATAAAAATTTGAAAAACGTGCGTGAAGACGAATTTATGAATTCGTCTTTACACACGTTTTTCAAATTTTTTATAGTGTGTTCATATAATTAGCTCTCAATTTATTATAATTATGACTAACTATCATAATTTAATAGGAGTTTCTATTATAACTTGAAGTGATAGGAATTACAAAGTTACAAAAGAAAATAATATATTCTTAATATCGTGCGCCCGTTCTTTTGTTTGCGTGCTATCAATTGGTATTAGTGCTACAATATTGGTAATTACTCATTACATTCTTGAAAAAAATCATAAAAAGAATAATAAAATCTTTGAAAAAAAAAGTTTAAGCAAATTCTAAAATTAGGTATTAAATTTACAGTTTAATAAATTTTTTGTAAATATTTAAAAGATTGATTTATAACTACAATTTTTTAAATACCAGGTGTAATTATTTTTTTTATTTACAATATTTTTATTAATAACTAAATAAATGTTATTATAAATTGCAGCGATAGCCTAAAAATAGAATCCTCTCAATGTATAAAATATAAATTTCTTATATTAAAAAATAAGAAAAGATGAACTTATTGAAAAGATTATAAAAAAGCTAAATGAAGTTTTATTTTAACAAAACTCAGATGTTAAAAACCTTAAATATTAAGTTAAAATAGCTGCATAGACAAATCGGTAAAGTTCTTTAGAAGAGTCGCGTCTCTTTTCAAATAATAAATATAATTTTACTGAAATATTTAACGTTAATGTTACTTAAATTTTTTTCTAGATTTACGTTTCATAATTTTTGTTTTAACTGTGTTTTTGATTGAATATTTTGTTATGGAAGCATTGCATATACTTTGTTGTTAAGCTCTAAGAATCGAAGAATGATGTTTTTGATGAAACGTGGATTTATCTTTTAAAATGCAGAAACAATTTTAAATTATTTAAAACTCAAAACAAAATTTAATGTTATCTATATAATCATCATTTTAAAACAGTATTGTTTTCATAATCACTGAATACTATTATAAATTAGATCTTTTTTCATATATAGCGACGTTTAATGATTTTTTTAGTATTTATAAGAAATACTTTTTTTAAGGATATATTTATTTGCATTGAACCAATTATTAATACAAATATTTCAAATATAATTTTTTTGTTTATTGTATTGTGTATTCTTTTATGAAGTAATGCCTAAAGTATCAAACAGTTTTGTGTTGTTCGGCAGGGGCGCCAAATGGGTTGGGCGGTGGGGGGGAGGTTCAAAAACTACAGTTTGCCCCTGGTGGGAGATTTCCAAGGGGTGCAAAATAAAAAAGAGATTCACTGATAATATAGAAAAATTTAAAAAAATAGCGGCGCCAATTAGGGTTGCTGCCTCAAGCGGCATGTCGCATCTTGGCGCCCCTATTATTCAGTGTTTATCATTAATACCGTGACAAATGTTTCAGTCAAAAAAAACATAAGGTAAAAAGCGAAAAACTAATAAAGGTATGCAATACTACAACTGTTAACTATAAAAAAATGACGTTTTAAATCGGAGTTTTACTTCCGAATTATTTATTTATTTATTCTCAAAAATTCTTATAATCTAAAAATTTTGAATTCTGTTCAAAAAAAAAACAAACTCTATTCACTTATATACCTTAATAAATAAATTAAAGACGTCATTTTAATACTTTACAGTGGGAATAAATGAGCAATTAGCAAAAAAAGTGTGAGAATTAATTTAATGCGAAAGAAGTAAGAGTATTTAAGTTAATGTGATTTAAATGTTCTAAATGATGCTTTTTTTTGCCAAAAATGTTTGATAAATTGACAGATCTCGTTAAGTGACGTTTGTGTCATCTACTCGTGGGGAAGATGATGTTTACTACGTTTTCGCCGTTTCCTGGTTGGTTTTGATCACTATTTAATAATATTATTGATACTATTTTTTTTATAGTTTTTTTAAAATAAGGAATTTTGTCTGAAATGTACGTCTAGAAAAATAATAAAGAAATAATTTGTGGTTTAGACAATTTTTTTAATAAGTTTTTTATTTATACTTTGTTGCGTTCAAATTATTAATTGTTGGTATAAATAACTGACTTTCTGCTTAATTTTATTTGAAGCTGAAGTGATTACACTATACAGAGTTAAATGTAGTATCTTAGAAAAGAGTAATTTTTATGTGTTTTGCAACTTTTTATATTATTAATAATAAACTATAATATACGTTAATTTATACGTTAAATTAAATTAAATTAAAATTAACATTATACGATAGTATTTAAAAAACATTGTACATCAACAATATAATATATTGTTTTGTACAAATGTATTATGCTTATAAATATATGTGTTATTGATAATGTTATGAATATTATATTCAATATCAAATAATAATATGATTTCAAATGATAATACCATATTATAATTGCATAATTCTATATTATCATTGCATAACAATATATAGATTACTTATTTGACATTATTAAATTTTTTTAACGTATTAATCAGTTTTTTTATTTTATTGTTACTAAGTTTATGTTAGATATTTTATCAAACTATTTTTTTTTATTTTTTTTATCTTGTTTACTTTAATATTATTCATAATCTTTTGTATTATTAATCTCTTGAATTATTGATTGCACAAGAGTTAGTATTCTCATTATTTTGAATGATTATGATGATATCATAAATATTTTAATTTTTTTTGTAACATACAGAATTAATAAATTAGAAAAGACTTTTAAAAAACAAAATAACATTTGGATTGTAAGTAGTAATTTTTTTTTGAAAAATGGCACTACAAAGAAAATGTATTTTTCTGAAAAAACCTCTGGAAACTTTATTAATGGCACAGAGTCAAAGAAATTTATTTGTTGAGTCAACTTTGCAATGTCCAGTAATGTCACAGTTACTATTGGATAAAAAAAATGAGAAAGGAGGTATGTTGCTATGATTTTACTAAATATCTAGATGTTTGAAAATATTATAACCAGCAGTTTTAATATTTACTTGATTATATATTAAAAGGAGTCAAATTGATTTTTTAAGTAAACATTATATAAGATTAGTTGTGATTGTTAGAAAATTTTTCTTTTATATATTCATGCAAATTAATTTATTCTACATTGTGTTTGATGAAAATTTTTGATATTAGATATTATTAGACATAATTTCAGGTCATTGTCCCTTCAACTCAGATGTTCTTATGGATACCATGAAAAAATTGGTTAAAAGATCTATTTATACTGCTTCAGATAGTACAATAAAAGGAAATCAAAAGTCTCAAATGAATGAAGGTGAATTTCTTTGTTTCGTAGTGATCTAAACATTTATAGAAGGTAATTGATATGTTTGTCTCAAGAACAGTTAATATAATTATCATAAGCACAGATTAAAGTTATTAAATGAACTATATTTAAAATAAAGTTTCTATCTTATTAAACTAGTCAATAATTCTTCTAATGTAGTTAAAGAAATTTTATCAATTT